GAGGTGGGTGTTGGTCTCTTCTCCCAAGTAACCAGCGAGCGGCCGAGAGGAAACAGCCTCGATTTGCACCAGGGGAGGTTTAGGCTGGATAGTAGGAAAAATTTCTTTATGGAGAGAGTGGTCAAACATCAGCACAGGCTGCCCAGGGAGGTGGTGGAGTCACCATCACTGGAAGTGTTCAAAAAACATGTAGACGTGGCACTTTGGGACATGGTTTAGTGGGCATGGTGGTGTTGGGCTGATGGTTGGATTTGATGATCTTAGAGGTTTTTTCCAACCTGAATGACTCTGTGATTCTATTCTATGATTCTAAAAAAGAGGAGAGGAAGAAACCTCGAGACATGCACATGGTGCCCCTGTAACCACCTTTAGCATGACCTGCAGAGAGCTGTTCAGTTTGCAACCTAGACATGGCTGAGGGGAGATCACAGAGCTCATGGCTATATTGAACAGTGTTTCAGAGAGAATCAGCGTGGGGCACAGGGTTGAGCAAAAAATAAAGATGTGGAAAAGACTGCATCTGGGGACCTACCCAAACTTCTTCAGCTCTGGAAGAGGTAGCAAAATCCTGACTAGCATTTCTGCTTCATCACTGTGGAGCTCAACATGAGACCATCTGCAAGAACAGAACAACAGATCTGGGCTATGTCCATTGATGACAAAAGGTGTGTCCCAAGCCCACAACTAAAGCACGCTGGTGCTGGGACATTCAAGAAGTGTCATGACATTGACACTTGGCAAGGTCCCATGGGAGCTCCCAGCCATGGTAAGAGAGTACAGGTTATCTGGGCAACTCACCTCAATTCCTGAAGCTGAGCACATTTTTCACGAACCCTTTGGTAGAAGCAAGCATGCTTCATTTCTGGCTTGTACAGATTCAATCTGCAGGATACAAACACACAACGCAACCGTCAGTGATGATCAACGGATGTACACTGCAGTGTCTGGTGCCCCTTAGGAGCAGGCTTAGGAACAGATCAGAGCTTTGCAAGTACCCTCCCTGGACTCTCCTGCTATGTTCTGTCTACACCACAGTCCAGTGTAGGGAAACGCAGCCCTTCCCCAACTGCAGGAGAAGACAGCTGCCGCCTTCTTCAGCTACACAAAGGGAAAAAGACACTAATGCTGTTCTCTCCCTACATGTTCATGCAGAAGCCAGCACGTCTTAAGAGTCTTCAAAGTGCTCGTTTCTTGTGAATGCTCCTGGTCCTGCAGGGAAGGCAGGTAGATCTTTTTTACCTCATGCAGGTCCAGTATGGGCCTGAAGGAGGGTGGCCTGAGAGACACATGCACGTGAATAAAGTTCCTTCTGCATGCGTGGCACAGAGGGACTCTGACACTGAACCCACGGAGACCAGAGCTTCAGACACTATGAAGGTATTTTTCATTCCATGGTGAGTTTCAGAACAAGCAGAAAATAATGATAAATACCCACTTTCTCACCTGCTAACGACTGATTCCGCCTTCTCCAGACAGTGGGGGAACCTTACGCCTAATTGGAAGAGGGTTTTGTCTTTACATATCCTGGAAAGGTAGAGATTAGAGAACATCGTAAGTCTGTGAACTCTTGAGGGAGCAAATGCTATTTTCCAGAAGAAAAATCAGGAGGACTGGATGGGACAGGACTATACTGGTGTGTGAATGCTAACCACCCATCTTTGAAGAGGTTTGCAAACTAGTTCCAAACCCAGGCTCTAATTCTAAATGAGCCCAACCAGGGGCAACAGGGCTTGCTTCCTACGCCCTTGTCCTGTGAGTGGATTCTCCAGTGTGTAGTACAGCACAAGTTCAGTCAGAAGCTTTTTCTGAGATGAGAAGAACACTCCTCTCCTGTACGAATTCTCTGTGCCTAAGACAGGCACCCTTTCTCCCAAGGGAGACCAGGAGGAGGGTCTCCTTTCCACTAAATCTTCTAAGGTGTGTGACCACAAACCTTCTAAGCACTTCTACCTGCCAGACATTTGGGTCAAACTCACTTCAAGTTGGCTAATGGCTTACACATGCACTGGAGACAGAGAAGAGAGAACAAAAGAGCAAGTTAAAGGGCTGACTTCAATCCCATTTACCTTAAAAGTATCAGGCTAGAAGAAAATATCTAAAAGATACCAGAATTTCAGGAGCTACTTACATGATCTCAGTAATGTTTCCACAGGCCTGGACAGCCAGCTCAAGAAGGTTTGTGACACTTTCTTTACATACCCATGGCTCTTCTATGCTGCAAGGCAGAATAAAGGCAGCTGGGCTTTATTCACATGCATGCATCCGTCTCTGCCTCTGTCAGCTGAGTGCTCAGCATGCTGATATAGATGGAAAGGCTGCTTTGCTCATAAGACTAATGTCTACATTGGAAACAGGGTGCAAAGTGGGAGCAAACAGAGAAGCAGCCCAGCTTCCCTGCAGAGGACACAAATATCAACTTCCCTCCTGCCTGCCTGCCACTGACAGCAAAGAGAGGGAGCCTGGTCCTTGTGCTCTAATGCAACACATTTTGGGGGAAGTGAAGAATTTGTTACCCAGGTGAACCTGGGCACTGCTCTGGCGAGACCTAGTTAATGACACAGTAGGAATGTGTTCACCAGAGTTAGCAACCTTCTTCGTAAGGCAGGTAGAGACAGTTTATGACCACAGCTTTACATGATGCTTAGTAGGAATCAAGGAGATAAAGCAAAAATACCAGTAACATAGAGTCATCCATGGGAATTTCTCAGGCCAATGCTACCTATCTTTGGAAGAAGCATAGTTCGCTTTTGGTTTTGATGAAAGGAGATCTTGGATGATCAGACCAGTCTCAGATCGGTACCTAAAACAGCACAGCGACACAGTACCTGATTTTCAGAGGACCCAGATTTTTCCTCAGTGAATGCAAAAGTCTCTCTGCAGCTTGGACTGTCACGTTGTTATTCGAGGATCTAGAACCAAAGGTCATTGTAATGAATGGCTTACAAATGCGCCCAGCCAAATGGGTCCAAGCAGCTATTAACTCACGTGTACTCTGTCAGACCAGTGCACTCTTCCAGGAGCAAGCACAACTTTTCCAAGTGCTCTGGCTGGAACTTGCACTCTGCGAGTCTGAAAGGATGCCAAAGAGAACAGTCTTAGCTCCTTAGAAACAGTTCAGACTTTCTGATCCAGAAATCTCAGGCATCACAACCTTTCCTCACAGAGAAAGAAAGATGGCACCAAAACCTTGAATGCCTTGCAGGGCTTCCAAAAAAGACTGTGGAATGGTCTGTAAGAGAAAGGGATGTGGGATTCTCTGTGACATGAGAACACTCTTAGAAAGTGAATGAAAGGAGACTTACAATCTATTAGTGTAAAATATCACCATGCCAGGAGCTAGAAGGTACAGGAGGTTTTGTTTGCCTTGTCCCTAGAAAAAGGACACCACCTTTGTCACAGAAATCACCAAAAATAGCTGTACCATTACCTCAAAATCTTTCCCAGGTCGTCTCTGCTTGACAACTTGATGATTAAAGTTGCTTTGGAGCACAAACTGCATGGAGAAGATATGCAAGTGTAAGATTTGGAGGCAAAATGACTATTTTTCCAAGTGGTCAGAATTTAACAATACATCAAACTACACAAAGCAACACAGTGCAGCAGTGACAGTGCAGCAGTGAGCCCAGCTCACCTCTCCCTACAACAAACCACGCCAGGGAAATGCTTCAATAAGGTTTCGTTAATGCTAAACTGGCATACAGCAGCACTGGTGGTTGGAGAAACAATCCTGATCTGCCCTGCTTCTGTCTGCCTCCTCCTGTCCCTGCACTCTCTGCCAAGCTCTGGGGAGAGCTAAAACAGGAGACTGATCTGCATTAAGATAGCCCAGCCAAAAGATTCAGCACCCACATTTAACTGCAGGAATGAATGGAAGTGACCCTGGTTAAATCTGGTTCACAACAGACCAACTCCTCTATGTGAACATAAACATTGACAAGGGCAGAGCTGCAGCATGGCCCAGCCTTGCGGCTTCGCTCCGTCAGAAAAAGCAGTTCATGCCAGTGCAACAAGCCTATGGGCTATTTTTGCCAGAGAGGAAAGGAGATAAAGACACAAAGCCAAGTAAAGAACACTGGAAATTGTTTTCAACAGACTCACTCTGAAATCTCAACAACTGAAGTGAATTAGGGACCACATTTTTAGAGAGCAAATGCCGACTCCTGCCCTGAAGAGGTTCGTTTACAGAACACATACAAGACAACAATTAGTACAGCTGAATACTCGTGTCTTTACACACAAAAATGACTTGGCCCTGTGGAATAACGGTTCTGCTAGCTTCCTCTTGGCAGCTATGTTTGGCCAGTAGAAACGGACATAAACAAGAGCTTTGCATGCACTTATACATAAAGGTAGTTGAAAACTCAGCCCTCATCATTATTAGCTGAAGACAACAAACTTCACGATAATTAAGAGGAAAACATTCAGGGAAGAATCAGAAATTAGTGAGGAGAAACATGCACCTGACTTGAACTTCAGTGGTATTTCCAGATGCGATGATGGTATTTATGAGATGCAGAACTCCATCCTGAGAAATCCTGTTATGGCTGAGGCTGCACAGAAGAGAAGGAAGGTTTTTCAGGTGGTATCAGGCTTGTCCCCAGGCTCCTCAGCCACAGAGGTGAAATTCAAGTAGGCACCAAAGGCAGTTCATTGGGTGCTGGGCCCCTTCGGCTGTGCTAAATGTACCGAACACCTCCAAGACCCAGCACTGATGACTTGGGTGACACAGCCAACTTCCAGCTTGCTTCTTGCACTCCAGAGGCAGCTGACTGCCAGAGCAGTTGCTTCCCCACCAGAAAGGGAAGGGTAGAGGCTGGTGTAGGGCACAGCTAAGCTCACAGCGCCTATGTGCCTTGAGTTATTCAAAGATGACAATGTACACAGAAAAGTAATGAACTGAAAACTCGGGGGACTGGATCAACTTCTGTTACACTACCCCACTCTGGGCCTTGTTATCTCCTGCTGATGCTAACAGAAAGACTTTTACTTACTTCACAGGTTTTGGACCAGACCCTGAGTTACCCTGGCCTGGAGGTCTTGAGTTGTGCTCATGACTCACTCAGACCTTGCCTCCTAAGGCAGGAGTGGGCAAGAAGCATGACAACCAGCTTCAGGAGGGATTGCGTGAACACCTTTCTGCTAGGGCACCTCAGATTTCACAGTACATTTTCTTACTTGAGGCAACACGTAATGGGCGCTCGATGCAAGTGATCCAAGAGGCACCGTAGGCCTTCATCTCCCAGCTGATTCCTGGAGAGACTGAAAGGCAGAAGAACAAGGTGGACAAGCAAAATTCAGCCTTTTAAGCAGCAATGCTCTTCTGAGAAGCTTTGAAGGAAAAAGCCAAAATTCCTGGACTCAAATCCCAGCTCAGCCATTAAAGGTCTGTCTAAAAGAAACTGCTGCCCCACAAAACTACCTCATGCATAAGCTCCAGAGCAAGCTCATGTGAAGAGCTCTGAACACAAGCTCAGAGCAGAGCTCAGATAAAGCAACAAATGCCTCAAAATAGCCACAGAGTGAAAATCCCAAGGAAGTTGTCCTACCAGCTCAAGCCCTCTTAAAATGTATATATAAAGGACTTGTATCATTACTAATCAATTTTGTTTCTAAATAGTTTGAACGAGCACACATATACACACAGACAGGCTGTCAAACCCCACGCAATGCTGAACCACACCAACCCAGCTCTCTCTCAGCGACTCCTGTTCAAGGTCATGGTAACAACACAAGCCCCACTTACTCCACTTCTGCCAGCCATCCACACTGCTCCAGGGCTCTGCAGAGCTCATCTATCTGCCCTTGACCGATGGAACAGTCCGTCAGTCTGCATGAGACAGCAAGAGAGTTAAAGCATGGCCAGCAACCAGGCTCAGCCTGAGCAGTGAGCACTGCCCATCACCAGTTGCGTTTTTACACCAGTCTCCGTGCAACATCACCAAGATGAACGCCCTTAGCTGTGCCAACGTTTGATACTTCTCATAACGCTCCCTGAAGTTAGTAATGACAAACCTCATGTTATAGGTGGGAAACAGATCTTTTCACATTTTTTGCCATCTCCTCGGTGCCTAACTGGAGACATGTTACAGTCTTCTTCACAGGGGCACCCAGCAATCATCAGTCCCAAAGTTTGCAGACACGTATCACATACACATCACACTGATGCTCTTACGGAGATTATCACCCAGAATCTGAGGCACACATTTGGAAAATGCGGTGGCTAGGGCTCAATTCAGTTGCTTGTGCAGCAGAATTTGGTGCCACTCAAGATGATTAGTCCAGTGGCCACTCAAGAAAGGCACGGGCCTCTACCATCCCAATGCATCTAAATGGTACCGAGTTGCACTTAGGCAGCTGAATTGAGCCCCAAAACTTCAGCTACTCGCCCAAGCTCCAAGACTACCAGCCCATGAGTTCTTCATACAACAGATGTGGCTAGCATGTTTTGGGTTTTTTTCCACTAGTGTGTCAAACCTAATCAAAACAAGTGAATTATAATTAAGTGTTGTATGCCAGTACCTGCAGGATGTCTTTTGCCTTCGCATGCTTGCTCCTAAATGCAAAAATGCATTTTCACTTGACCTAATGCAAACATAAAAGACAGTCCTTCAGCAGTGCTCTTTGAAGACAACAAGCTTTCTTGTCCCTTTAAAGCTGAGCTGCTGGGTTCCAAACATTCTGAGTGTCTTACCGGACTTCTACCGTCCTGATCCGCTCACAGAGGTTGATGGAGTTCATGAGTAAGACCATGCAACGCGGGGAAAATGTGTTATTCCTAATACTGAAAAGGAGGGAAAAGAAAGAACGACAAAATCAGTTCCCAAGAATAGGTTCCGACAAACACAGCCCAATTTTCCAATTGTTTACTTTGCGATGCAAAAGGCTGGATCCACCCCATTTGTCTAAAGACCAGTAAGCAAGGATCTAAAGTTTTGATCACCGGCACCCAGCATTCCTTTAACTAAAGGAGAGTCTCCTTTAATCTCCTTTGAGTAAAAAGGAGTACAGACCAAGGGTTTACACTGAACAACAACTCTTCAGGGCTACTGGACTAGGAAGCAATCGCCTGAGTGAGACATTGTAGCTCCTCCACGCTACAACACCTTGTAAAATATGGCTAAGCTCCTTCTGGGCTTTTTGTCCAAATGGTGGGAGTGCCCTAGGCCCTGACAGCACCTCTCTAGCCTAAATTCCCAGCCTAAATGTCTGGTATGCTGCCAGGAAACACTTTTGCTGTCAAGCGTGGCAGGATGCCAGATCCTTGCAGGGGAAGAGCTGCGAGATGCTGACCACACAAACGGTGTGCTGTCACCATGTGTCAACCAACAAGTCCTACCTCTGTAAGATTTGTTGGAAGTCATGGGACCAGCTAAGTGAGGACTATCTGGGATGCTGTGCCTAGGGTATTTCTCACGTCCTTTTTTTTCACCTCTATATATCATTAAAGAAAAGAGGTTCAGTCTTTCTTTGGTTCTAGAAACAAGACAGGAATGGGTGTGAAAGAGTTTCTGCATTTTCTTTGCCTAGCTTGTTAATCTACAATTACTGATTAATGCTCCTAAGATATGCTGTGGTATTAGCACTTTCCAAACCAATGTTTCATGGCAGCAATTAAAGCAGGGACCCCAAACATTACCTCAGTAGTGTCAGGTGACAGAGGTATGGCAGGAAGCTCAGTAATCTCTCAGTGCTCTGGTCATTCAATGAATTTCCAGACAGACTGTAAGACATGGAAGGAAACAAATTCCAAGAGAAAATGGGACAATCTGTAAGTATTTCTACAAAACCTACATGGACATGCACACACAGGTTTGCATGGGGGTGTTATGGGCAAATTCTGAAAAGGCACATGTTCAGAAATGCTCTGAAAGCTGGGCAAGATTTAGTCCTTAGAGGCTGATCTCTGTGTTTCTCTACATCCTCTAGCCAATTAACATTCCAGTTTTAAAAGTCTTACTTTTCTATTACTGTAAATTTATTAAAATGATGCTACTGATGTATTCTGTGCATGCAATTTGGCTGTTATGTTATTTTGATTTGTTATTACTCAGCTTTTGTTCTGACCAGTATTCTTCCAGTTTTCTTGGTGCCCAGCTCCTGCTTGGAGTCACCAGCTCTTCAGGAGTTCGGTTCATGGCTTAGTGGTCCAGGTGCTCTTGCTCTGACTGTACTGCAAGCCAGGGTCTCGAGGTATAGACGACAACACTTGTGTTGTCACAAGACTGAGGAAGACTACGAGAACACATACGTGTTCTGGAGTGTTTACACACAGACAAGGTAGACTTAGGAGAGGCCAAACTCTGTTTGAAACAGAGAGGGCAGCAGAAGGTTTGGGTTTATCTAAGCATCTGGGTGAAGTTTTGCAGGGATTTCTAGGAGGCTGTGGTGAGAGGAGAGCCGATTTACACCAGCTGCTAACCTGTACACCGACTGTATCTGCGGGTTGAGAGACAGACAGACAGGCAGGGTTGCCGAGTGCACAACACTTACTCAATTTCTGTCAGCTGGGGACATTGAGCCAGTATCTGGCACAGCCTGGTCACATCCTCTGGACCCACTCTGCAGTCCCTGAGACTGAAGCAAACAAAGCAACTCAGGAGTTAAACATTTCCCATGACTATGGTATGGCAACACTCCCTTCATATCCCAGAGCCCCACATCCTAGGACAAGGCCCATAGCAACCCTCTCGCTTCCACTACATATATTTTGCTATGCACAAGCTAGGACTGTGAAGTCAGAACCTGTGACAACCAGTTGATTGCACCAGCTCTGAGCTGATTCAAGAGAGCCAGTCCACCAAAATACCATGTCACTTTGGGTGTTGCCTCCCAGAGCCACATCACTGGTATTTAAATTTTCTCAGGAGACTGGACAGCGTCTTTCCCTGGTCAGCACTGTCTCAGCTCTCCCAGAGCAAGGCTGGGAATGGTGCCTCCTATGTCCTTCTCCAAGAAAGAAATCACAGAAACCTTCCTGGGTGACAAACTGGCAGGTCTCCATGGGATGAATGTAGTAGCCAGCCACATTTGTATCTCATTATTTATGAGTAGAAGCTTCCTCTGCAGGAAAGCAAGGCAATCCCCTCGAGCCTAGCCAAGCAAAAGATGCACTATTTATTTTTCCATATATGCCTGTAGCAGGGCACACCCCAAGTCTATCCCTAGAGGGTGTATGATCCACCCAGCCACCTCTGGCTTATCACTGTGTCCCTCCAGTGACCACAAAGTACACATAGTTGTTGGCCTGGGTTGATGCCAGCTGGCCCAATCTCTTTAAGGCTTTGCCAAATTACACCAGCCAAGACCTTCTCCCTTGTGTAACCAAGTGTTATTTTGGGGACTGGCCTCCCTGACCAGTTTCAGCAGTGAAGAGGATGGAAGAGAGATATATTAAAGATGCACCTTTTCCAGAGGTGTCTCATGTGGAATCAGTCATGACAGGATACAAGCAGAGGAAAGAAACATCTGCTTTCCAAGAGAACTGAGTCTGCCCCCGAAGGCAGGCTGGGCACAAGACATCTCTCTGAGGAGACACAGCTGGTTCCACACATTACGCTACAGACACAGACCCCCATTGCCAGCTCTCCCTACACTCCTGGGTGGCAAAAGGAAGCTGGGGCTGCCATACCGAAAGCACCGTCCTTTTGCTTTGTGCTTGGGATGCACCAGGAAACTACTTCTCCATCGGCTGGTACTTCCGACCCTGGGGAAAGAACGGTTTACCCCATGAGTTGTGCTGATATTGCCCCCGTGTACCTGACTTCCCACGCTGCAGCTGCGGAAGAGGGTGAGGTGGTGGCAGCGGCCTCACACTCCAGTCTGCCTTTTCTCATCACCTGCCAGAATTAGGTTCCCGTCATCCCCAGAAGAAAAAGGGTCTTATCATCCCTCTTCCAGCCACCAGAGTGTTCTGCATCCATGCAGAACTTTGGTCATTTGCTCTGCCCTGGTCCAGGAGGGAGACACCTGCAGCCCCAATCAGCAGTTGGATACTGCTGTCTGCTCCATACCCTCAAGCTGCTGTCAATCTATCCATCAGACACAGCTCACCCTGCTTCCACCACTCTGACTGGAGTTTGGAGCCGAATGGCTCTTCAAATGGCACACCTGGGATACACTTGATCCCTAGCCATAGTTTTGCGAGGCTGACTAAGGAGCAACAGGCTCCTTAGTCATGAGCAACACTCATGCCCTGTGGTGAACTTGTGAGCTCCTGGCCCATGTACAAGGGAGTGAAGGTGCCTCAGAAAAATATTTCAAAAGGTGGTTTTGAAGCCCAAAAATGCAAGATAACCAAAGTACAGAACAAGATACCAGAGCTAAAACAAAGACAACTATCTTCTCTATACTATTGACTAGCAGCCAACTACTTCACTCTATAAATATTACCATCAGGATGAGCCCAATGTGAGTTCTCCTGAAACTGCAGCTGGACTGCATGCCCAGTGACTCTCTCCTTGAGCAGGGACACCTCTCAAGGTTTGTGATCCCCTACCTGAGACTAACAGATCCTTGGTAAGTGACTGACAGCACGCTGAATTAATACTAATGAAACATTACTAATCCATGTAGCTACTCCGTATTAATTATAAACTTTGTATAGATAATTCCATTAGACATAAATCGTTGTCCAAGTCTGAGACTAAGATTGGACCTAGCTGCATCTAGGAGTTTAAGAAGCTGCACCATAAGAAGTTTAGAAAGCAAGGGGGTCCACTCTGAAACTCATGACTCAATGGGAGGATCTTCCTTACTCTTTGCCTCTCTGGTCCCTGTGTGAATAATTCTAGCTCAATTCTAACTCAATTTTCTGTTGTATGTTTCTTCCATATAGTAATTAATAAGATGAACTTTGCCATCAAACTTGCTGAACCCTAGTAAACCACTGTTAAACTTTGTTAAATTCCACCAAATTTCTTGAACTCTGTCAAATTATTATTTTACCCCAATAAAATATACTGCTCCTTCTGTCTTTTGAATGAGGTGCATTCCACTCATTCGTGACAACACCTCAAGGACTCACACATCACCATCTATTGAAGATTTCATAAGGAGGAGTTTGAAAGGCTTAGACAGATGAGTGGGTATGATTTTACCTGATTCTTTCCCAAAAGGTTAGATGAACCACCTGCCTGTGTCCTAAGCTGTAAGCAGAAAAGAACATAATCAGGATGGAGTTTGAAGATATGTGCTCCTGTATCACTCCTCCGAAACCACAGCTTGAGGTTTTATATAGCAAAAAATAGGAAAAGTACTCCTGGTCATACCTGAGGTTCACTGATTTAACATATTCCAGTGTAGATAAGGACTGAGCTAAGAAAAACACAGAGTTCAGGGAGATCTGGTTGCCATTAAGCCTACAGGAAGAAGAGACAAAATCAGCTACTGCAAGTGAAACTACTAGCAATTTACACAGTGTCACCTGGTAATAGTGATCCTTGTCCAACACTCTTAGAGACTGCTTCTTTGCCACCTTCTGCCTGTGTTTCCAAATACAGTTCTGCAAACACAACTCACTCCAGTATTTTTTAAATTTGTCCCTCACTTTCAGAGTTCAGAGAATCAAAGAATAATGGAGGCTGGAAGGGATCTCTAGAGATGATTTAGTCAAACTCTCCTGCTTAGAGGAGGGTTAGACTAGACCAGACTGCTCAGGACATTGTCCAGTTGGGTTTTTAGTATCTCCAAAGATGGAAAATCCACAGTCTCTCTATGCAACCTGTTCTAGGGATGGACCATTCTCCCCACACAAGTTTTTTCTTATGGTTAAATGGAATCTCTTGTATTTCAATACACCAATGCAAGACAAAACAACTCTTTGGCTGTAAGTGCAGTTGTGGCAGTACAAAACCCACACTAATTAAGATCATGCACAGGTCTGTAAGGTCTATCACAGTATCTAGTGTGACCCTGGGCCATGTGCTTGACGCTGTGGGAAAAAAACAAACAAATGAGTAACTGCTGTGTGTTTCATTGCACTGATGTGAAGACAAGCTGAAGACTGTCAGTAACTGGAACAGTCTTGGCTTGAGAACAGTTCAATTAAAGAGGAACAATAAATATCTCTTTCAACAAAGCACAGTGATGCTACACTCCTTAAGCCTTAAGTCCTGTACAGTGAATTTGCAATGGGAGTGCCAGGTAAAATACCCAGATAACATAAGCCACCATGGCGACTGAATTCAAATGCCACTGCTGAAGTTGGAGCTCCCCAGCATTTATATTCCAAAGGTGCCCACCCCGGGAGAGGAAGGACTGTTCTCCCTCACGATGAGGAACCGTGAGAGGAAAGATTCAGTGGCCTGCTAAAGATTTCAGCCTGTTTTAGAAACCAGGTGCCACACCTGCACACAAGACCATATGTCTCCTTCATGGAAGACTGAGTACACAGCCTCTTGGGCACAGATCTTAATCCAGCTTCAAGTGGAGTCAATCTGTTCTGGACTAGAGGTGGGGACAGACCAGATAGCACAGTGGATCTACCCTCAAGAGACACAGAATATAACTTCACTTGATCCTGAAAATCCCTTCCCAAATGGGGCCTGTGATTCCACAACCAATACTCCCACAAAAACCCATCCATAAGTAAGGAGAAACAGGAGCTACTCACTTGAGAGAATTTAGCATTTTCAAATCCGGGAGGACTTGAAAGAGCTGCAGAAGTCCCTTGTCTCCCAGATAATTATTTGATAGGCTAGGATTTAAAGAGAGGCATTTAATTTTCATAGGAAAAAAACCAACAACAGGCACAATCAGCTCTTGCAACAAGAGCTCTGAAAGCAGAACACGAGCACCCTAATCCAAACAACACGTGCACTGCTCCTCTCCACTGACAACTGAAGCCTACAGGGAAACCAGAGACTGGAATTAACCAACATAAGACAGCCAGAAACCTAACTCACGGCTCATCCTTTTCTTGTGTCCACCCAGTGACCCCTCTGAACTGACAGTGCTTTTTGCTGCAGTTACCAGGGACCAGAAGTCCACAGCTTTGAAAAACGATCAACCTGGGCAGGCCTAACAGAGGAGCCATGGGTTAGCCCTGGATAAGGGTATCAGGCTTAGTATTAGGCTCTGATATCAGAGCCTAAGGATTACAATGGGCTATGGCCCATGTGAGATCAAAGGACATGATTGCTTAAAAAGAGCAAGGGCTAAAAATCTCTTCCACAGGCTGCCAGGCCTAAGGGAATAGCTAGCCATCAGGTGGTGGTACATAGACTACCTGCTTGTGCTGGTCCTTGTTCTGTCCTCAAAACCCAGCTGTGTGTGGGGTGTTGGCTAGCCTTTCCGTTGGGCTGGGTCTGCTCACTTCTTGGTGTTAGCTAACAGGATGATTCCCCCCACACAGCACTAACAGCAGAAAGTGCTTTGGTGCTGAAGGTCCTTGCACACCGTATGTGGGATCACCAGCAAAAACACAGGCTGCCACCTTCATTTTAGGTGGGATTCTTCATGCCCTGCAGCTTTGCTCCCAAATGGCCCAAAGGCAAAAATGACAGAGCAGGTTCTTACAGCTTCCATAATACCTGAAGTCAGGCTAAGTGATCAAACAGCCCCTTTCTAGATTTATATCCTGCAAACTTTGCCTTAAGAGAGCACTAGAACTGCATGTCTCCTTGGCAAAGGGTATTAGCCCATGTAAAGCTAAGCCTTGTGTAAGACTACTCTACCATGTTCTCCATACAACGCTGCAGAAGAAAAAAGTGGCGTTTTCTCAATATCCCAAAGAACCGCAGACAAAGACTGTATGAGTTAAGAAGGACTCACTCCAGCTCGGAGATGCTGCTACATTTCTTCAGAACTGCACACAGCTTCTCCAGGTCACTGGCTTGAAAATGACTGTCTGTCAGTCTAGGGGAAAAGAGAAATCAATAGTCCAGGTCTGCAGAACTGCAAAGACTGTAAACTTCACTCCTTAAGAAAACCAGAGAATAAATGAGGAGACAATAATGAAATAAATAATAATAATTATAATCTGTATTATGATAATCTGGACTTTCAGCTCTTGTCTGCAAACAGAGAATAAAGAGACAAGGTAAAGAAAACTTGTGGCACAACAAAGAACCAGGTCCCCAAGGTTCTGGTTAGAAGGCTTTAGGTACAACTTCCTCCTTCCTTACTGCAGCCTACAAAACAGACAGGCATGCTCTGTGCTGGAGTGGGAGCATGATCCGATACGCATCTGAACACAGGTCCAGCTTAAGATGCATTTCTCCAAATATCAGTAGAGAACCGCCCCCAACACACAAGCTCTGTCACCACCAGCTCCTCCAACTCCCCCATGGGAGCTGATGCAGTAACCACACAACCACCATGTCAGTTCTGTGACACAACCCACAATCTATTTTGGCTCCCATAGAAGACCACAGACCCTAACCACAGAGCTTCTAGTGCTGCAAGCTGGGACTGTGAACACAGTGACAAATGACTGACTGAAGGGGCCTTTACCAGCTCTCTTGTGATTCACCAGTCAAACTTGGAGATGCAGGTTACATCAGCTATAGGATCCAGAGATAGGACATGCACAAAATAGAATGAAAATGTGCCACGGTACCTTATTTTTTGGGGAGCAGTAGGTGTCTGGTTTTCCTCTCCGTATTGCTGGTCATCAGTAGAGAACACAGGCTCATCCCTAAGTGAGCACAAACCCAGACAAGAGTAAAACACTTATGCTTTAGCAATTTGGTAGGTCCCTGGGGCTACCCTGGCTCTAGCCCACACCCATCTCTCGCCAATAGCAAGTTCTTCTTTCTTTCAGTGATAAACCAAAAACTTGAGTATGCAGGCAAGTGGTGAGAAGGGGAAAAGCCAGATTTGTCATCTAAGCTACAGTCTGACAGAGAATTCAGCTTTTGCCTAAACATGTTTTGTGGAAAGAGTCCACATCTCTGCAAAAAAAAGACTATTCATAAATAAATGGAACATCCAAATCCTAGAATATCTGAGTTTGAAATGTCACCTGGTGCCTTGAAGGAGTCACAGATCATATGTCTCAGGCTGTCACTCTCTTTCAAGCATAGCCACAACAACTGGGTTGCATCCCATGATAGCTCTGCTGTTCCTCCGCAGTTAAGAGGTGGGATGCCAGTGTACCGTGGAAAATGCAGTGGAAAATTACAGTGCGCTCAGTCCATGGAGAACAAGGGCATAAATAAATGAAACTACAGCTCCAGAAGCAAGAGGAAACCACTTCTTAAACAAAACATTTGGGTTGAGCTGGTTTGACCCATAATTTTCTAAGGGGAAAAATAAAACTCCAAATTTATTTTGATTTAGGAGTACCATGATCCAGAATGCATAGTGTAGCCAACTAGATGGTTTTAAACATGCAGGGACCTGTGAATCTTTTTGGAATTTGTTTTGGAGGTGTGAGGTTCACTTGGTTTTTTACTGTTCACTATTATCAGATAGCACAGCTGTCACTAAACAGCCTGCTTTGCTTAGGATGTTGTGGGTTGGAATGTCCCCTAAAGACATAAAACATAATCAAACACTACAGAAGGCAGTGGACAACTTCCAACGTGGCTAAGAAAACCAGGAGAAAGTACTACATTTAGATTCAGAAGGGAGGGGGGACAAGAACTGCTGTGAGATGAAGTATTACCCTTGGTACCTAAACAGGATGTAAGAACTAAACAAGATGCTGACAAAACACCATTTGCGCACACACACTCTACCTAGGAGGAAGGAAAGCAAACTCTGTGTCTTCTGCAAACCTCAGGACTGCAGTCTCATGACAAAGGCTGTGAAGAAGAGAAGGAATCAATCAATGTTACAATTTGGTTATTTACAAGACTTCTTGTTTTAAGAATGCTTGATTTTGCTCTGCAAAACTCTTTGGTGACACCAATCACTTAGAACACTCCCAAAGCAAGCAAAAGGTGATCTCCACTAGTTTTAAATCCTGGCTGGTTCAAACTATGCAATATCAGATGACCCAGTTTCTCTGAACCATTAGAGAAAGTGCAGACAAAATTGTTACACATGAACTCCAGGGGGTTTCCAAGGGAAAGTAATAGGACGTGGCACTTCAGGACATGGTTTAGTGAGCATGGTGGTGTTGGGTTAACAGTTGGACTTGATGATCTTAAAGGTCTTTTCCAACCTTAATGATTCTGTGATTCTGTGACAGAACTTCCAGCTCCACTCCAGGAGGTGTCAGCAGTTCTCATACTCCACAAAGACTCTCTGTCCAAAACTTCCCAGGGCAGAGAGCAGAAAAGAGTCTAAACCTGCCTCCATGCATGAAAGGATACATGGTTTACTGCAATGTATTACCAATTGTCAGTGTTAGTAATTGTCTTTGGACATGTTCTCCACCCACCTCACTTCTGAGGTGACTCAACAAAAATCTCAGAACCTAACTCTTAGACTTGTACATTGGGATTAACCTCAGAAATTATTCAAGACCTACATACCTGACTTGTAACTCCATCATCTTCTGGCAGGTATTTACTGACTTCAACAGACTGCAAATGCCATTAACAGAGAGGCGGTTTTGACTGAGACTAAGAAAGATAAAAACGGCAATTAGCTCACTAATTGTGCAATTAGTGACCTAATTAGCAATTAGGTCACTGAAATCACACAGGACTGTCCTAGTGGAAGTGGTCATCAGTGTGAACCCATTTCACTTCAGAAGTGGCATGGTAGAAAACATACAGGACCACTACTCCTGAGGAAGTAGCTTTAATGAAAGGGCACTTCAGATGCATTTAGACCAGTTTCTGTGCGTGATGCTCTGAGCAAGTGACCAACTTCAGCCTGAACAGTCTCATCCTTCCTTAAGAGTGCTCAGAGCTGCTTCTGTAGCACTGGTCTGGGTGAGGCCTTTGCCTCCTGGATCCCTGCTCAGCATCTCTGCAATGACCCTGCCAGGCTCAAGAGAAAAAAGAGGGCAATTTGGTTTTGTAGAAGACAATACTTACTCCAGCTGCTTTGAAATTGATATCCAAGGGAGGTTTTCCAGCAGGCAACTGCAGCCTTCATCGCCAAGCTTGTTACCTGATAAACTGAGGCATTTTCCAGTTAATGGGGACTATTTTGAACAGTATAAACAAAGCCCTCAAAACCTGCTTGCTTTCCCTTTCCTACAGTTGCTTTTTTGCCTGGACTGTTCTGTTCTGGCCCAGATCAATCCTCCCTGCTTATCTCTGCATGAAGCAACTTCTAACAAAGAGTTTTGTCCCTAGGGCAACATGATTCATGCTTCAGCCCCAAAAACATGTTACTTTAGAAAACCTAAGTGGGAGTTCAGAACAACAAACCAAGTGAGTGTTTACTGTCCTGCTGGAAGGAAAAAAGGAAGGAAGAAGACACTGGCAAAGGTCTCCAGCTCCTCAGTTCAAACCAATGAGCTAGAAAACTGGTGTTAGGGGTGTAGCTAAATTCAAGATATAATCTAGACTGAACTGTCTTGCAACAGGTATTCCTGCATTTTCCAGAGGAGACAGGCTAGAAGGAGAGCTTTACAGACAAATCCAGATGGTGTCGTATATAGGCAAATAAGGAAAAGTTGGGATGATACTCATTGCAATGTGTAGGTTACGGAGCAGATCTCTCGCCTTCCTCTTCTCACTTCTCCCAACAGAACTGGATGGTCTTAAGAGGTCAAAAGGGACAACACAGAACCAGTCTGTGTCCCTTCACTGGCTCAGGGGATTTGCTGGAGGAGCTGTGCCTCTGGGATGGCTCCAAAATGCCTCCAGCATGCAGCACTGCTTCCTCAGCAGGGTCTGCTCTGTAATTGGGAGCTCTGGTTACAGTCTCAGGGAGCTAGAGGCTGCAGTTGTCACAGGAATCAAAGGTTGCTCAGTGTTCATCTCCTGATGAACCTCACCAAAAATCCCTAACCAGGATCCCACCAGACATAACACAGAGTGCTGGGACCCCTCTTTGGGGTCAGGCCCCATGTCTCACTGCCCTCTACATCTAACATCCCCTGCTCCCCACCACCTGCCTGCAGCCACTCGACAGGAAGGAAAGGAGTCACTCACTCCACTTCAGAGAGATGCGGACAGCTCTGGAGAATGGCAACGATCTCCTTTGCATGTTGGGAAGACAGGCTGCAATCCTGCAAACTGTGAAAAGGAAGGGTTAGTGAGCAGTGAAGGGATAGTGGAGCCCAGGCATTTCTGGTGTCTCTCTCCAAATGAGGGCACACAGCAAGCAGCACCAAGAGAGGAAGGTTTTACTCTCTGCTCTGCCGCACACTCCTGGGCATATTACTCTGTCCCTCTGTAGCCGGTGCTGCAAAAGGAATGATGAAGGACAGCAGAGTGCTGTGCAAGTGCAACGCCTTGTGTCAGAGCCGCCTGGCAGTGCCATCCATGAGAAGGGGATGGATGTAATTGTTCTTGTGAAAGAGGAGGAGAAAAGGGAGGGACATTTCTCAGCTTCACCATGCCCAGATAACACACCTGAGTTCTCCTGTTTCAAGAAAGCCACTACTCTTTTCTGGAGCCCAGGCAAGAAAGAAAACTATATGGCTCATACCTCTGGTATAAGAACATACGGCAAGATGGGCATTATCAAGGGAACTCTGCCTCTCTAGGGCTGTAGAGCCCAATACACAAGAAACAAAGCCACTGGCTTGGCCAGATAGGGATTTCTACTGTTATTTTTATTTACTGATTCAGGTTGATTTCAAACTTTTTCATATATGGAAATAGTCTCTGCCCTTAAGGACCAACACAGCTGCTATTCTTGTCCTTCTGTAGCACCTGTCATCTGCAAATCACATTCACCAGCAGCATTTTGCAGGAATTTCAATGCCTTCTCTTACCGTAACTTCACAAATCTAGTTGGAGTTACATGTTCCTTATCCTCTTCCCACCTCAAATCCAAAGATCTGCAAACAAGCAAAATATCTGGCCTTTAATACGCCTTCATAAAACACAAGGACCTGGGAGCAGGTAAGTATTTTCTGGAAGCTTTCTGGAAGAAACCACGAGGTCTGTGTTCTGTCCCACCATTCCACACGAGGTTAAGTGATTTTCAAGAGCCAGAAGAGCTCCATCAGGAGATGGGAGCAGCCATCACAGGGGATGTCCACAGGGGATTTCACTGTATATTTGAATCAACTGGACTGAGCCCCAATGATGCAAGATGTTTTGCCTCCATGTGGGATTGTGCCACCACAGGAAGGGACAAACACCTGCACCAGGCTGCCTACAACAGCACGAGATGACTGTTCAGGCACCTGAATAGGAGCAGGTTTTAGTTAACTCAGGGCCGGGCTGAGCCAGGTTATACCTGCATGCAAAATATTGTGAGGTCCCTCGAGGACTGCCCAACACAGGGCAAAGTGAGTTCCCCATCAGGGAGCAAGAGATTGTTTTGTAGATTCTTAACTAAGGTCAAATTCACCCCTCCCTCAAAAGCAAGCACAAGCAGGGAGAACACAGGAGCCAGCCAGAGAAGGAGCAAAGTCTTTTCCTTCATTTATTCTCAACTGTTTTTCAGCAGTTTTGCAATAGAAACACAGCACTTCAAGCTTACACAGGCACTAAGGTGCTGCCTTTGTGGAACTGGCTCGTAGGTCTATGCAAAGATAAGCTATTTTGGTTACTTTTCTCCTTGCACAGGTGGATCCAGCTCTGCCAGATACAAGGCCAAAGGCGACCAGTTCTGTTGCTGGAGTGTTTTATAGTGACACCAAGCTGACGGTTTGAATCAGCATAACTCTGAATATAGCATAACCCCACACGCAGTTTCTCACCTTGGACCTTTCCCAGATGGGCCAGAAAAATATATCATCACGGCATCCTTCCTGAAAATGAGATCCAAGCCAATGTTAGGGCACAGGTGGAAGGATGACATTTCTTTAGCAGGAGTGCTCGGTAAGGACCAAAGCTGCTGACTGGATGCTAAAGAGGGCATTGACTTCTGCCATGCTAGCACATTGCCATAGGCAAGCGACTGAGCAGCCACGTGGCTAGAGGGCAGCAGGACAGCCCACATCTTGAACTGGGGCTGCAGTACAGACAAGACAGTAACACAGTTAAAAAACTGGGCTGAGATTTTTTTGTTTTGCGAGACCAGCAGTTTGTTGGAAAGAGGTTCAGTAGAATGTCCATTCCATTCAGTAGAATGTCCATTCCAAGTGATAAAAAGCTGTATGTAATTTGACTTCCCTTGAGTTACACCAAGGATTAATTTAGCCTGTTACATTTACAACATAAGAGTTAGGATTTAAAAATTCTACCCTTTCTCTGTCATCCTGGACCTATGAAAACACCAAAACCTGTGATTTAAAGGAACACAGAGATAGAGCTACTCAAATCCACAACTTTTCAGTAAACGTAGCTGATTTATAGCAAATTTATGCTAGCTGGTAAAGAATTTCCCAGTTGATATATTGCAGAGCTTAAAAGCAGGTTTAAATACTGTCATAAAGGAAGAAACATTACAACCTGTAAATCAAATTACAGACCAAGGATAAAATGACCTATTAAAAAAATACAAAGAGGAAGTCCATAATATGATGAATTCAACAGAAAATAGAAGAGAGTTTCTGTTTCAAACAGAAAACAGAGAGGGGTAAAATTAGTTTTTGTTGACTGTCATTAGCCAACAATTAGGCTGTAAAACCATGTCCATTTAAAAAGTCAGCATTTAAAGAGACAACATATTCGCTTTTGTAACAGCTCTCATGTATCGATACCTGACACACAGTTCAGTAGCATTTTGACACGCGATGACTTCCTTTGCCAAAATGAGAACAGCATTCAAGGAAAGATCATTGTTGCTGAGACTGTGAACATGAAGAAGAACACAACCTCAGCTGCTGGACCCAACAGCATGCTCTTGTTACACAAACGCCCTCTGCTCCACACCCAAACACCCTGAAGCACACGTTCTTTTAGTTAGTGAGTTTCTCCAAAACTTCAGAATTTTGCATTTAAGACCCAACAAAAGCATTATCAGATCATAGTTCTTCCCTGCAAGCTATAGCTCCCATGCATTTAGAATCAGAGATACTTCCTCTATGTGCAACAGAAGAATCATTAATCATTTTTGGGTTATGTAGGGAATGTAGTTTATACTTGTACGATTACACAACCAGCCCACATTGCAGTTAAACTCTTGCTATAACAAATCCTATTTAAGTATGGCATATTGGTGTGGTCTAAACCCACACATTTAAAACATCCCCGAAGACATACTACTAGTAACCTCTAAGGATTTATTCTTTAATTGCATGTTTATTCTGTTTCATTACTTGTTGAATTTCACTAAGCCTTGGCACAGAGGGGTTTTTCCTGAGGCAGGGAAACGCCAGGGCAGTGGAGAGACCCGCCAGGAGCCGGCAGCTTTCGCGGGAGATGCTGATGAGGCCTGGGCCTTGCCAGAGCGATGGCAGGCCACCACCCCACCTACAAAAAGCAGCCTGGGGAGGGCCAGCAACCAGAAGCGCTGCCAACAGAGCGGACAAACAGAACACAGTGTGGTGTGGCAGTTCACACGGGAGGGCATAGTGAATAGAATAGAACAGAGTCTATGAATAAGATCATTAAGGTTGGAAAAGACCTCTAAGATCATCAAGTCCAACCATCAGCCCAACACCACCATGCCCACTAAACCAGGTCCCAAAGTGCCACGTCCACACGTTTCTTGAACACCTCCAGTGATGGTGACTCCACCACCTCCCTGGGCAGCCTGTG